CGACGTGCAATCAGATACGCATAACATCCATATTGTGCATTCGACAAGGGGATTGGACACCATTCTTACGTCATGCCTCCGCAACCCTTTTGCACCCTTATTTTTTGACATTATCTCTTTTTATACGCTATGTGTTGCGAGGGTCGTAAAAGAAATGAAAATGTCTAATGTCCAGGTTGGGTTGCCAGTGGAGCTAGTGTAGGATGCATACGCACGCAAAGTGGAAAATGAAAGAGTGGAGAAAAGAATTTTCCACCCTTCTGTGTGATACGAAAATACGTTTTTCGACTAATGCCATAAAGATGGTAATAATTTATATCTGGCACCCTCTTTTGAGTTTGAGTTGGGAATAATGGAGGCTGTTAATTAAACTTTCATATTGTGCTTTTGAGCTTTCAAAGCTTTTTTCTTAATTTTTTTTATCAAAAATAAAAGCAGAAATGTAAAGTTTTTAGTTTTTTGCTTCTAACTTTTATATTTATTAATTAAAATGTATTATTTAAATTGTGTTTTATAGCCAGATTAATTTTTAATCGAGTGGTATAATTTTTATTTTAAAATGTGATAAGAGTTATCCTCTAATCGCTGACAAAAGTGCATAATACAATTTTATTTTGCTTTATTTTTAGAAATTTTGACTTTAATTCAATAATAAACCTAATTATTTTATTAATTTTAACAATTTCATTTATCACGTGTATAGATAATTTAATTATCCTTCAGATGACGTAAAGTTTGTGAAAATTGCGTAAAAATTGTAAAAGTTATAAACATTTTTGTAACGTAAAATGTTTTTGTTCATATTTTTGAAAAAAACAAACAAAAAATTTAAAAAAAATGTTTTGCCTGCATTTTAAGAGTTTTTACATTAAAGGTATTTTTTGTGGGGGTGGTATTCATGGGGGTGGTTTTTGGAGGCGTCTTGAAAGTTAAAACGTAGGTAGCTATCAGAAATTGTCGAAAGTTCCAAAAGTCTTTAAAGTACAAGTCGAAGAAAAGCGCTCGCGAAAGGCTCGATACGATTGCGAGGGGCCGAGCGTTGCCGCCGCTGAAAATTTCGCCGCTCCCGCTCGTTATATAATATGCTTTATCAAGATGACGACGCCGAGCGCGGCGCGAGCGGCGAGTAGCACTTCAATTGGATAAGTTCGCCGTTCGCCGCCCCGGGCGCATTTTAAATTGCCAGCACCGCCGCAGCCGCCTCCGCCGCCTCCAACTTTCGAATATTACTTCACTTATCTAAATTGAGACCAATATTGCCAAAGAGTCGAAGTGACTGCGAATTTTATCGTTTTCAGTGTCAAAAACGCACTTGGAAGAGTGGTAGATAGGTATAACGGGGGCGGTGGATTTAATGCGGGTGAAGATGTTTTTATATACCTTGTATAATTTAAATTTAAGTAATAGCACCATGCTTGGTAAAAACGTGGCGTGCAGGATAGGTAATTATAATTCCGTCGAGTTCCATCTTGGAAATCCTCGAGTCATGCCAGCACGGCAAAGACTCATGGAGGAACGACTTAAATTGGTTGGGAGTTTAACTCTGCAAAACTTTTCTCATTTCTGATCTTTTTTAATGTTTTTTGTAGGTTTTAAATCAGTATTTCTATGTTTTAATATAAAAATATTGGATTTTTTTACTAAATTGTCGATAAAAGCAAGTGATATTATAAAAAATTGATATTATTTTATGTCGTTTAACAGATAGTTAAATTCTCTATAAATTGATGTATTACTTGTTATATTTATAGTTGTTTATATATATTTTATAAACAGTTAAAGTTGCAAAAAGTTTAAAAAAAATGATTTTTGTGGGCTAATTTCTGCATTTCTTTAGAAAATTGCTTATAACTTTTGAAATATTTGAACTATTTCTGAATAATTTATATACTCTCATACAAAATTAAATTATCTATCGATTGATGTAGTCATTGGTATATTTTTTGTGTGTTATCATTGTTTTATTTGCTTTCAAACCAGCAAAAACTATAATATTACAATTTTTATTACTATTGGTGATTTTTATTACATTATTGTTAATAATTCAAGATATAATTAAAATAATAATAATATTTAAATAGTATATGAAACACAAATAAATTATCTATAGAATGATATATAACCAGTTGTATTTGAATTATTATATTATTATAAGATATATTTATAAACCTTTGAACTAAAAATTATATTTTTTGAAAAGTAAAAATATTTTTAGTTGTGTTTTTCTATCTTATTTTCTTTATAAATTTAAAACTGTTTAAGATATTAAAAAGATTTAAATTACCTGTCATTGGTAATTAAATTCTCTATCATTTAGTATATTGCATGTTTTAATAGCTATATGTTATCAGTACTTAATAAGGCTTTAAACTTGAAATTACATTTATTTAGAATCCAAATAGAATTTTTGCTTTTCTTTAGAATTTTATTAATATCCTCTAAAATAACAAAATTTCCGTAAATTTTAATACGAAATATTACAGACTATTAAATTATCTATCGTTTGATAAATATTTTATCATTCTGCTATAATTTTCTGATTACTTTTGAAGCAGTCAAAATTAGGTAACTCTTCTAATTCACTTGATTATAAAAACGAAAGCTCAAAACTCTGAATTTTACCACCCAAACACTTGTTCCAATCGTAAAAATATTTTTACGACTAAATGTTTTTAATAAAAACCAACATTTTTCTTCTCATTAAAAATACCAAAATAAAAGCTCTCCAAAAAGCTCGCCGCCCTCCGGCTTGAAAACTTGAAGCGTAAATTATGAATGATTTCATTTTAAATTGCGTTTCGGCAAAGTTTTCGCTTTTCTCGCGCTCGGCACAACCCCCGGCTCTTTTTCCCATTTTCCACCCTCATCCACCCCGCGCTGTGAAACTTAAGAAACGCGCGCGACAAAGAAAGAAGAAAATAAGGGTTGCCGCCGCCGCTGCGAGAGCGCCTTGCCCGCCCCGCAATGTTTTAAAATCGTTATGCGGCACGTCGCCGGGACGCCAACGCCGACGCCGGAAAGAAAGAGGGCTAAAAAGTATCTCACTCACCCCTACGGCACGGAATTAAAACTGAAATTAAAGACAAAAGGGAAACGAAATTAATGTCGGGCGCGCGCCGAGAAAAAGGGGGAGACTTTTGCGCGACGCAAGACACAAAAGAGGGGTGGGTTTTAGAAAATGTTGGAGGGTGGTCTACGAGTACGTCGAGGGTTGAACCGATAGAACATGCGTCAGAAAAATATCCAGAGCTAAGGGTAGTGGGGACGCAACGCAGCGTCGGTAAAAACAAGTCGAGTCGCATGTTTCTTCTTCTTCTTCTTGTCGTTGTACTTCTACTTCTTCCAAACGTGTTTCTTTCTACGTTGCAGGTCCTTTCAACCCCCTACCAGACACCCACACATTGACTGGGGAGGAAAGAGTGGGAGGCCTTTTAAAACTTTCTTATTCGTTTCACCATTCGTCCGTCCGACCGGCAGAGGTAAGATGGCCGCGCTAGCGACGCGACAACCCCACCACTAAAACTCACCCTTAATTTTTTTACTTTCTTTGCGTTTTTTATTAAATTTATTGATTTTTCACAAAAAATTTTTTCTTTTTAAGAATTTTTATTTTTTTGATAGTAAAAAGAGTGATACACTTGGTTAAGGTACCAAGGGTGGTTTTAATGGTGTATGCCGTAAGGGAAGAATAATGTCGGCGGGTGTAGGAAGAAAGGCAGGAATTTAAATTAGAATCGTCGCCGGCGACGTCGCGGCCGACGTTTATTGTCTATTTATTTAAATCTTCGCGAGGAAAATTGCGCCCCTGAGCGCAGGGGTGGGTTGCGCCCTTTGGAAAATGCCAAGACTCTTGCGATGAGATTTATTTATTGCTTTTTGGAGCGTGTTATGCCAAGAAAACGTTTTATTTGCTTGTTTTCTTGAAGAATCAAGGTTTATATTATTTTTTTTCCTTAAAATTGGAATAATTCAAAAAATTCTCGGAGAAATTTGTTTATTTTTTGGGATTATATAGTTTATTTGTGGTTTTATTAGGTTTTAAGAGAAAATTAGTAGAAAATGTTGTTTTAAGGGGTGATATTGGCGTTTGAAGTTGAAAACGCTTAGTTTTTGATTTTGTTTACATTTTTTTAAATATTTCAAAAAGTCTTTATGGAAACGAGCTCAATTTTTTGGAAGACATTTTTGAATAGTGTATTTTTAATTTCCAAGAATTTTATAAAGATTAGCTGAACGGTTTTTGTATTAAATTGCTTCAAAATCAGGTAAAGAATTAAGAAACTTAATAATTTTTTTAAAGTTTTTACATTTTTTGAAATATTTCGAAAAGTTTAATCTCAAAATGAATCAATTTTTGGAAAAATGAAGATAAATAGTATACAAACAGTTTGTCGAAGTAAGAATATGATTGAATTATTAATTCCTATTTGAAATTGATCTTAAAAATACAAATTGCTTAAAAAAAAACTTAAAATTCCATCAATATTTTCCATTTTCTTTAATATCTCAAAAACCATCCACTCAAATTCTCCAAAATTCTCCCAAAATATACCCTAATACCCATAAAATATAAACCCATTCAAATCCTATAAAAATTTCACCTCAATCCCCCATAAATCCTCATTCAATCATTGTTCAAGCAATCCTCAATCCAATACTTTGCTTGTCTAAAATAATTACCCATGGTAATTGCGCGAAAATCTGTTTTCGATAATGCGATTACACATCTCATGCCCTCTTTCCGTGTTTACTTTCGCTCGGTGCGTGCACACTACATGTGTGGCGGCGTCGGCGGCGGCGGTTGCGGAGGCGGCAGCGGCGACGGCGTGCGTCGCGCGACTAGGTGGCGGAGCGGTTTGTTTACGCAATAATCTCGCATTAAACGAGACGTTTAGCGCTACCGCCGGCGCGCCGAAACCACCACCACCACCACCATAACCACCGTCGCCGCTACCACTGCCGCCTCCGACAAATATTCTCACATTACACCCACTACTTACAATAGTTCACTTTTGGCAAAACTAGGTGAGGAGTTAAACAAACACAACAAACACATACACACAGGGTGTTCACATAAATTCAAAACAAACACTTTTTATTAAAAATTTAAAGTTTTCACTTTTAGAGTTTTAAACGATTTAAACAACGCGACGTTGAATTGAACTTATTGCGATGACCAACTGTCACCTACTGACGAGTCCGGCATGCGCGGCGTCAGAATTTTTACCTTTTTTCACGTGTGCCCTTCAAAGGGTCAACCGGTTTTCGACTGACCCCACTTTCGAGGAGTTTATATTTCTTCCCAATGAATGACCGTTGCATTCATCATGAAAACGTGCAGAATTTACACTACCTGGAATTATGCCCTTTAAGGGTCAACTGGTCAAACTAGTTTTCATGGGACATTTTTGACCGTTATGCAAATGGTCATCGCAAATCCACAAAAGAATCCCAACATATTCTTCAAGATATGATAATTACTTTACCTGCGCCCTAAAAGGGCAAAAAAAGGGTTGAAGGGTTTTTTTATCGTGAGAACATTAGTAATGTTTGCATCATCGCATCATCACGCAAACACAAATCTAAGAAAGATGTAAAATTAAGAAAAGTGTGATGTTGCCCTTTTTGCCCTTTAAAAGGTCAAAATGAAATTGAGACGCTGTGATGATGTAAATATTTACTCATCAGGGTTAAATATAAAGATGAGGATATCTTTATATTTATTATTGATTTTTACGCCGGGAGGGCTAAAGGGCTAGGGTTCTTTAAGGGCGGATTTTGCGTGATAAAAGCGAAAATTGCGAAAATTTTCTTCAATAGATAGCAATCGCGCTGTAAAGTGCTGGAAGTATAGAAGTATACGTAATAAAGGCTTTCGGAAAATTGGAGGGCGGCGGCGCTGGGGGGTGGAAAGAGGGTGGCGGCGTCTCGCAGGCGACGCAGCGACGACGGCAACGCGAAACGAATCCTTTTCAACCGAGAATAAATTAAAACTCGCCCCGGCGTTCGCCGCTCATTCTTCTATCGCGTCGTCGTGAGTCCTGGGGGCGGCGGGTGGGGGCGGCAAAGGGGTTTGACTTAAAGCTGAGAGTATAGAAAATTTTCATGAGAAATAAAATTAAAACTTAAAAATTTTATTTTTTTTTAAATAAAAAAATCATCCCTTAATTTATACAAAATGTAAATGTACCCTTAAAGGGTTGAGAAAAGGGTTGGAAAATATACTTTACTTTAATGTCACTTTGTATCGTCTTTCTTATAATATTCATCAAGGGACTTTATTAGGCGCCTTCACTACGCCGCCCCCAACCACCCCTCGAGTCTTAAAGGGGTGCAAAAGGGTAAAACAGTGTTTCGTACCAGCCAAGCCTTGCTTTTACGTTTCTTGCGTTTTTACTCGCATTAATTTCACGTTTTCAACCCTTAAAATGCAAAATTAAATTTAAGGGTTGATAAAATTCAAAATACGAATAAGTAAAAATATCCAACGGGTCAGTTTGGGCAAGAAACCGGTTTTGCACCCTTTACAATCACAAAACTGACCCTTGCGATCGCTGGCCGGCTGCGAAAGCGAAAAAACAGGTTTGACCACTACTACCCTTATACATCTAAGGGTGTAATCACGCAATCACATACTGGTCAAAACTAAAAACGTAAAAATTAAACACACAAGTCCAGAAAGACATGTGTGATGTGTTTGAACATTTTACCGGACGTTGTCTGTGAGTAAAATTTTTTTTGTTTTTAAGGGTTGCAACCCTTAAATATTTGTGTTTGGATGTGTAGTATATGGAAGTTCTAATAGTATAATCTATATCGTCTATCAGGTGATCGTTTTAAGCTTTCAGCGATCGTCAGATGTGTGTTTGAAGTTCACTTCCGGTTTGAATATCGTCCACATTCGATTATAACCCGTGCGGTGCATTACCGCTTTACACAATTATTGACTTTGGTCGCGGAGCACTCAAATCGTTATCTCGTTACCTTTACCTGCGCTATTATATCGTTTACATCGTTATTGTTTCCGGTTTCATATTTGTGTACAGTATGTTTGATCAAAATATTTTTGTAGTAGTCAAACATTTTATTTATTAAAATTCAATTAAATCTTTATGTGTTACAGTTTTTCGGCAATTTCCGCAAACCGGAAGTTGGGGCATTATTATTTGTATTGTTAGATCTTTGTCGGTATATTAAATTTAGTTTACAGCTTTTAAACGGATAATTTTTAGGATTTTTTTCGGCAGTAGATACTGATATACTTTTCACTTCCGGTTTGTCATTTTTGGTATTTTCTGACTTGTCTAAATGTTTAAAATTATTACAGTTATCAATTTTGACATAATTTACTTTTACCGGTTTAATATTATATACTTCCGGTTGTCCAAAACCGGAAGTGAATACGTTTTGTCTTTCTGTTTGTAATCCAGTTGATTGTACATGTTTTGACGATGGTATTACAATCGGTTGGTGATATTTTTTAGTCAACTTCCGGTTTTGTTTTTTTGCGGGACTCTGAAGAGCAGGCACAGAAATACCAATCAAAGATCCTATTTGTTTTCCACTAGGACTTAAAACAGCAAAAACTCCATTCGCCAATCTATCTCTTGAAATCTTAACCGGAAAATTCAATAATTCTTCGGTTTGCATATAATTTTCAACTGGTACCAAATAAGGTTTTGTTCCAGTTTTTAAAACAGGATCAGATCTGGTCAAGGTGACCTTTTCAGAGAAATCTGACATGTTCAAGGTCTCATAGAGGTCATTTATAGAATCCAAGTTATATTCTAGAGAATTCCCTAAAGTAGATTCAGATTTGTTAGGTTTGAACACTGTTAAAAGGTTTGGTTTCTTATTCCATAAAATTTCTTTTGAATTAATTTGGAGAGCTTCTGAGACTTGGTTGTAATCTTCTTCATATTTCTGTAACCCAATTGATTTTTGCCAGTAACTTGATATGTTGGCAGTAATCCCAGAAGTCATTTCGGGAAGTGTCTGAGAATAAGATGATTTCTTCAAAATCTTAGAATCTGTTTCTGTGGAATTGTTTTTCTGCAACTTTTTCGCCAAGACTTTTATTTGGGAAATAGACGTAGATTTCTTCCCAGGTGCAAAAGCCCTGTTTTTATTCTTTAGAATTTTCTCAGAATTTGCCACACTTGTTTCCAGAATATCGTAATTTCTCAGAGGCCATGTCAGGTCATCTTCTGTGTCTTCTTCTTCATCACATGATTGGGTAGTGTAGAAAATACTACTATTTGAAGAAGCTACAGGTTCTGCTATTTTCTTCTTTTCAAAAGACTTATCTTCAGGAGAAGCTTCCTGGATTCTTTTTCTTTTTCGGAGTCTTCCTCATCTTTATCTCCATCATGTTGTACTAGTCTTAGAATTGTTTTGTTCTTACCGTTGCAGGTCATCACTTTTACTGGAATTTAAAAATCAAATTTACTGTCAAATATCTCATTATGTCAAAGTCACATTATGTTGTTGTCTAAATTTCAAGTACATGAAAATGGATGAGCGGCAAAATTATGCAGAAAATGCAACCAGATTGAAGGTAAACCATCAGAAGAAGTTGGCGAAAAGATCACATCCATTACATCCCAAATCTCACTCTATTAACATTAATAAACAGAAGAAAAACCAGGAAGAGCAATCATCACAGGGACCTAATTCTGTATATGTTGTAAATTCTACAAGATCAACCACTTGTCTCCGAAAATCTATATCTTCATTAACCTACGCATGTAATAATATATGTCATAGAGAAGTTGATAATTTGGAGGTTCAGACTCAGAATAATTACCAAGATACTATAGAGACTCAGAATCTGGAAGTAAACCCTTCTAAGTCTTGTAATTATCTCCTGGTCCCATTCGGAGATAAAGAAATCTCAGAAACCTTCAAAAATGTGCGAATGGTGGGGCATAAGTCTGGCAATCCTCTGCATAGTGGGTTTTATGATTGGTCTGGGCATAGGACTTGTGATAGGGTACCTCACAGGGTTAATTCTGAGTCTCCTAATCAGAAATCAGTACATGCTCATTGGATGGCCAGCCCAGTCTTTGTAATCCGTGCTCAGGAAGACACCAACCCTTTAGGAAGCAATTTAAGTAATAATGGTCCTCACCAGGAACCTTCTAAGACCTTTCATGATGTATCCACCTCTGCTGTGGACTTGATTAGTGTATCAAATAAAAAGATCCAAACTTCTCAGATTGTCTGTGGAGAGAAGTTATACTTACTCAATGTAAGTCAATATCATCAACAAGCAAAAGGGTGTCAGGTCATCAATGAAGGTGAGTTGGTTGCGACCACAACAACACCTGAAATGTATTGCCCAGGATGTGGGTTCTACCTAGCATCTAATATGATTGATAACCAAGTGGAAACAAGCACACATACTATAACCCTGGAGAAATCTGAAGAACCTGAAAACCTGAAACCTGATGTAAACTTAGAAGTGATCAAACCAATTCGTACAACTGTCCAAATACAATCTTCAGATCTGAATGTTCAAATTGATAATGTTTTGGTGGAAAATCATTCTGCTCAGACCGTTACTCCTGTGGTAAGCCCAAAAAGTGAAATAAGTCTCACAGAAGTCCCTGAACGGACACCTAAAAGAAGATTAACAGGTTACCCACATTCAACACCTACATCTTTACATCAGAAGGTAAAATCATTTTCCCAAACCATGGAAGAAGTCAGACCTAAAGTAGTGAGCATTGGAACCACTTCAATGTCCAATTTTATGGAGGTGGTATCCAAATTTGTCCAGACTTTTCATGGTTCCCCACAAGGTTCTACAACTTCTGAGGTTTTGAGGGCTTCCCAGAAACATGTTTCTATATCCCTAACTAAGGTGGACTGTAGAAATGCCAGGCATGAGAATAATCATCTTGGTAAAGACTTGAGTTGCTATTGTTTACCACGTCCGGAAAGATCTAAATCTGAAGTGAATGTAGAGAATCTTACAGGAGCAAAAAGGATTCAATGTTTTACTGATTTGACCAAAACTGTATCACCTCCAACTGATAGTAGTCTTGTAGAGAAACCCAAATCGTTATCAGCTAGTCTGTTTACAAAAATCAGGTTGTAGATTCTGCAAGTATCATGGTTTCTGAAAAGGGTCTAGATACTGGTAAAATTTTCAGTAGGCTGTCGGAGAAATTA